TTATATATATTATTTATTATATATATATATAATAGTTATTATATATATATATATATATATATATACATATATATATATATATATCAATTTGTAATGTTCCTCTCTAGTGTGTAGTTTATCAACTGAGCTTTGTTCGCTCGTCTTATTCGTCAACAACAGGTAGGCACCCAGGTGGGTGCTGTTGCCAAGTCTCAGCTCGAAATGATCGCAGTGACAGTCCAAGAGAGTTCACCTCGCGTTAGGAAGAAGCTGGGCTGCGATTCACCGAATTTAAGCAGCCGAGTACCGAACTCACTGGGTAAGGAGAGAAAGGTGGTGCTCGTAGGTGTCGATAGTGTTGTAGAAGTATATGTGAAGAGGTTTTTATACTGTGCGTGTGTACCCATTGTGCGTGTAGAGATGCTATATGTGCGTGTGTGAAGGTTCAACTGTATTTGTGGATTTGTCTATAGTTTAATACTCGTGGTTGTGTCCGTGCGCATAGGTATGTATACGTCCTTATATGTGTGGCGTGTAATTTTATGCGTCCTTAGGTACATGCTTTGTTGCCCATCATTGACAATTGAACGATTCATGCGTCATTTACATTCCTTCTGTCTGCACTGGTACATCGCCACTAGACATGCACCCACATATACAAACGTTTTAAACGTGTAACCAAGCGCCTGCATACTCTTTGCGTTATGGTGCATCCCATAGAACGCGCCGAGCTCCATCTGGCGAGTATGGACGATAGGTGTAGTCTACAGCGCTTTGTGCTGAAGTGTTATGTACCTTCTAAATAGCAATACGAATCCAGTCCACCGTCGTGTCAAAACGGGCTCAATGTATGGACAACTGTACTCCTATGTGTTTTGTCGGGTGAGTCATGACCATCGCAATACCCACTCTCAATCTAAATGTAAATACAACGCAGCACGTGCAAGGTTTGAGTTACAAGAATACTATATCACGAAACTATGAGATAGAGTCACTGGGTCGATGGCCGCCACTTGTAGCTCTCTTACTCTATAAATTCGCTTTCATTGGTCGGTTTTTAATTGAACCAGTGTTCTGTGTATCTGCCTCGAGTTTAAGTCTAAACCCTTCCTCAGTCTGCTGTACTCCCCTCATCCCTCGATCTTTAACCCCACGTAGCCATCTCAACCAAGCCGCCGAAGAGCGCATCCCAGAGCCCTCAGAGTACTCCGGGATCTCCGGTGTCAACCAAACACTTCGGCCTGAACAGCAAGGGTAAACACATCGCCCTAAAACCTCCCAGGATTACTCAGGTGGGTACTACATCCACTGAAAGTGCACTAAAAGTAGCACTCGTACGTGTGATAGTACAGAAACCTCTATGGTTTAGGGTGTCGGGTTTAGGGTTTGGGTTTAATCGGAGATCTAAGTAGAACTGTGGAGTGAAACCCTTCCTTGGCTGTTGATTATTCAGGGTTTTAGGGTTTAGGGTTTTCAGTTCGCTTTGCGATGGATGAGTGGTCGAGAAGAGTTCGTCTCACAACATCACAGTAATATATACCTAAGCATTTGGCTATACCTGTGGTTCCTCTAGTGTTCTTAACGCTCGTCTATGTGTATCCCTCTGTACACAGGGACAGTACATATCCCATAAACCCAATGCACACCATCCTAGACCAAACGGGTATTATATCCGTACATTTTATATACGAGAACTAGATAGAAGTAAAGTTATATAGTCACGGCCACCGGACCATACCGGAGCGTGAGTGTACCGAATCGTAATTTGACAGGTATCAACTAACACACCCCACTGACTACCTTTCCTTGTTAGGGCAACGCAATCAGATCCGTACCTACCATGAAGAAACCCTTCCAAAAGGCCCGTGTCTTGACTCCCATCGGACCCCCTGATGTCGTAACCACCAAAATCCGAAAATTCGGCGAGTTGTCCAATGCCGTACCCAAAAATACAACACAAGACACTGGCCCGCCCAAGCCCAGGCCCAGACCCAGACCACCCGTTCCCAGCAAGAAGAAAAAACCCGAAGTGGTGCGACTGTACACGTTGGCATCGGGCGCCAAATCGGCCGAGAACATCAACTATAGCGTACACGCAGACAGTAGCAATCCATCCCCAGCGTACTCTAAACAGTGCAGCAGCACAGACAAACCGTCCAGGAAAGCGAACACGCGCGCCGATTCCGTATTGAACACAAAGGTGAGTGTAGGTGTTACCGGGGCGGCGAGTGCCCCGACTCTGAGCCAACAGGCCAGCGGGAATACCAGTGGATATATCCACAAGAGCACTGTCACGCAGAGAAGTACTGGTGCAAGCACTGGAGGACAGGGCAGGAGCAGGTTCAGGCCAAAGGACTGGAATGGGACTCTGAGACGGACCAAGAATGCGGAGAAGACGAAGAACCCGGACCAGGAAAAGAGGACTAGGACGGGTGCAGGACATGCAGATGCGGTACAAGGGGCCGATACCACCGGCGACAGTGTGCGAGCACGCAAGCACGGCCCACACGACACACGACCAAGGTAGGTGTGGACATTCACGAGGGATGTGTGGGTGGGCATAGGGTAGGTAGAGGTGTGGAATGTATTGCAAATGGTTCTGTAAAGTATGTGTGGACATTCACGGGGGATGTGTGGGCGGGCATAGGGTAGGTAGAGGTGTGGAATGTATTGCAAATGGTTCTGTAAAGTATGTGTGGACATTCACGGGGGATAAGTGGGTGGGCATAGGGTAGTAGAGGTGTGGAATGTATTGCAAATGGTTTTGTAAAGTATGTGTGGACATTCACGGGGGATGTGTGGGTGGACCTAGGGTAGGTAGAGGTGTGGAAAGTATATTAAGGGTTCTGCGAGGGATATGAGAAGATATGCGGAGATGTATGTACGTACGAAGGTTACTGTTATGCAGGCCCTGAGCTCTCTGTAGATTTGTGTGGGACGATTGTTCGCCATAGAGCATGCGACAGGCAGGGTGGCGCAGTAGCAACAGGGTACAAACAGATGAATGGACGAGAACGTGATACAACCAGGTGAATGATGGAGAGCATGATACAAACAGATGAATGAATGCGAACGTGATACAAACAGATGAATGAAGCAGAACATGGTACAAACATATCAAATAGACACGCAGACACAGACACATACATGGGAACGCACACACAAACACACATTTATAACCAAACCAAAATGCACACACAAACACTCACTTCCCCTCCAATAGGACCACACACACACAGCCGCAGAGATGTTCACTAAAAACCTCTAAAAACTCCTAACCCCTCTAAACCACTCTACAGAGCATACCGTGTAGAAGACTTTGATATGACAGAGACGCTAGCACGTAAGGTGGTTGTGAAGGACGGCAACAGATACGCGTTCCATCGCTGGCACGAGCATTCGGTGACTGTCGCTTCTCCGTTGCTACGCTTCCACAAGGCCAAGGATACCAGAAGGGTGAGTCAGCCAGCGCGCATATGGTGTAGTGATGTAGGAATGTGTGTATGCTGTTGTGAGTGTATGTGTAGTAGTGTGTAAATGTCTGTGTGTAGTTGTGTGTGTGTGTGTGCTCTTACTGCGCTTTCACAAGGTCAGAGATACCAAAAGGGTTAAGTCAGTCACAACACACACACACACACACAAACACACTTATATACCTCCATATTGTCCCTCACACACACACACACACACACACAAGCACACTTTAATACCTCCATATTGTCCTGGCGTTTATCAGAAGCATCAGTTTGATGTCAACATCAGCGGATACGATGTTCTACCACCCGGAGAGTACACCAAGAAACCCTACACTATCCTGCTGAGCTCAGGTATGCCCGTAGAGCCGTTCTTGTTCTGTGAGTCGCCAACGACGTGTGTGTGGGTGTCGAGTCACTTGCATTAAACCCTACACTATCCTGCTGAGCTCAGGTATGCCCGTAGAACCGTTCTTGTTCTGTGAGTCGCCAACGATGTGTGTGTGAGTGTCGAGTCACTTGCATCAAACCCTACACTATCCCGCTGAGCTCAGCTATGCCTTTAGAACTATTCGTGGTCTTAGCGGACCTGTGGCGTTCATTTCGGCTGAATATGTCAAACGTAGATAAACTAATAGTGTGATTATACAACCCATACATATTTCCCTATATGGATTATTATATATATGTATATAGTAGATATATCTATAGACCGGGACCTGTGCCATTCCCCTTGCATCATTTGTACGTCTACCCTGATACAACATACATTCGTGCTATATTACATACACTTTTTATACTCATATATGTATATATATATATATACATATTCAT